GGAAGGATACTCGAAGTCGCTTTCTAAAATATAAAAAATAAAAAACTACGGCAAAACCTCAGCGTTGTAGTGGTAATGTTGCTTTTCCGAGCAACAGCTTAGTAAACTTATGAAAAGGTATGTGTGGGTGGTTGGCTTGTGCTGTGGTGTGGTTTAGCTCTACTTTCCTATCAAACATCCCCTAGATCTATCTTTTCTCTTCCTTTATTTTGATTTTTTGTTTGTTTTTCTTTTTCTTTTCTAATGTTCGGCACTTATTACGATATGGTCGATATTTGTTTCGCAAGAGGCGTAAAACTCCTACTAAAACTAAATAAACTAAACAAAACTTACGCTTTAAAAAAATACAAAAAAACAACAACAACAACAACGACAAAATCACACGAGTTTCTTGCGTATAATTTGATACAGATTTCTTGGACTTTTTCGCGTAGGTAAAAGCTTAACTTAAATATCTCCAGCTAGCTGTATTTCCAGTTAACAGCTTGCGGGGAAAAAAACTGCTTACCTAAGAGATTTTTTAAGGGGGAGGTAGGGGGGGAGGGGTGATATTTTTTACTACTCTATCCTCACAAGTGATTTTCTTATTTTTCTGAGTGCTGTCGTTTGAAGTTTCTGAACCGCACCCCCCTCCCCTCCCGTTTAGTGCGGTACAAGGTGCGTTGCAACGATGAAGCCAACATTTTTTTTATTTTGGAGTTAACACACACACACACACACACACACACACACACACACACACACGCCTATATATATATATATATATATATATATATATATATATATATATATATATATATACATATACATATATATATATATATATATAAATATATATATATATATATACGCACCATGCAATGACTATCCCGAAGAACAGCGACATCAGTTCTATGATCAACTGAGTGACCTTTTAAACTAAACACCGTGGACGACAAAGATAATGTGACAATGTTGGGGGACTTCGGCAGAGTGGAAACAAGGAAGATAACGTGGGAGAGATACATGCGGCCACACAGTGACAGGGAAACAGATCAAAACAGCAATGAAGAAATGCTATTACAGTTTTGTGCAGAACATGAGCTCGTCATATCAAATACCTTCTTCCAACACAAAAGGAGTCTAGTTAAAACTTGATGCAAATGCAATGATCTAAAGATAGCATCACAAATTGATTTTATCCTAGCCTAAAGATCGAAACTGAGAAAAATCAGAGACTCTAGAGT